GCTTCACTGAGGGACTGACTGCCGACTGCGCCTCTCAGCCCGCGCGGAGGGTGCGAAGACCAAACGATAGAATCTCACTGTTACCTGGACCAGTGGGCTGGAAGTGGATGTAGAGGCTTCCTTCAGTAGGTAAATCTAGAGTTTATACAGTGTACATGTACATAGTAAAGTATTTTTATGATTAACAATGTATTTTAATAACATTGTATCTAAAGTCATGGTGAACTGACTTGTACATTTGTTAATTCTTACTCTGGAGCAACTACTGTGTAAGCAGTTTTGTAAATGTAATGTACCAGTCGTTGTACACCTGCATTCCAGAGTTTAGAATGTTTACTATCAATTTTTGTTCCTTTACAGGCTACCTGGGACCTGATTCACTGAAATTTATCACTTTAAAAATACTTTTCTCTGGTTAATTTTCTTTGTGTCATTTCCTTTGTTGTATACATAACATCACTTGACTCCATTAAAGTGTTTCAAAGGGTATTCTTGGATTTCTGGCACCTTATCTATGATATTTCTTTTGCAATTTTTATAGTTAACCACTTGGTCACCTTACCCCAAGCTTTCACTACTGAAAAAAGCCAGTAAACTAATGGCTGTCTTTCCTTGCTCAGACTTGCTGATTCAGGCATTAAATGTAAGGACAACTCTGTAGGAAGAAGAAAGACTGTGCCCAGAGTTCACATGAAGTCATTTCTGGGGATGATTTTTCTTCTCCCCTAAACTAAAGAAGAAGAATCCTTTTTCTTCCTGTACATACCCAGCGTACTGTCAAAGATGTAGCAGCTCTTCAGACGTGACCTCTTAGTCTGACTGCTGCCGAACACTTCAGTTTCAAATCCATTACAGTTGAAGTTTTTGTTTTGTTACTCTTTTTCTAGTCTCCAGTATGTATCATTAGTAGACTTTCTTCTCAAAGCCATTCCTTTGTTTTGTTCCTCTTTTTCTGGTCTCCAGTGTACATCATTAGTAGACTTTCTTCTCAAAGCCATTCATTCCAGATTTTACCTGGGGAGTATTCTACATCCTCTTACTTTCTTTATAAAATATATAAATAAATCATGAAATGCACTAAGTTTTGTGAATCAGGGCCCTAAATGTTTAATTGTAAATAATTTAAGTTTCAGATAATTGTTAGAGCTTTGTGTTGAAGTTTTGTTGTTTTTTTTCCAATTAGTTAAAAGTCTTAACTGCTTCTGAAGTAACTATAATGTAGATTATGCAAACCTTTTACAGGCATAAATATTTAAACTGTAATGCTAACGTTAAGAGATTGCAATAAAGCTGCTTCAGCTAAAACTGTTCATGTTTATAAATACTAGAGTTTGTTTTATATTTCATATATGCATTTTGGAAGATTAAAGAATGCCTGTTTTTCATCTGCAATTTGCTTGTGTAAATGAGGTTGTAAAAAGGCAGATGAACTAAAATGTTTGCAGTATAAGGAAATAAAAGAATGGAATTAGCATTCAGAAAATTCTTGAGTACGTGTAAGTTCTACAACTAAACAGATTGTAGTATTTTGAGGTTTTTTTAATTAGCTCAGATTCCATGAAACAATTTCTTCATCTCTGCAATCCCAAGATCCCAAGATGTTTTTTAGTAGCATAGTGATGAGGACTAGCAGGCAGCAAAGTGGTTAAGTTGCCCACATGGCCCACTGAAGTTCAAGTCCCAGACATGGCAGCTTGAAAATCATGCTGTGTGTGTGTGTGTGTGTGTGTGTGTGTGTGTGTGTGTGCGCGCATGCGCGCATGCACCCAAAATCCTCACAGCAAGATGGAGAAGGGATTGTGGCATGGCTGTCCTCCCTGGGTGGTGATTTCTCACTTGCCCTCTCTCTGTCTCCAGCAAGTGCATGTGCCCTGTGGCAAAACAAAAAACCTAAAAAACTAAACAAACAAAGCATAGTGAAGACATATGCCTCCTCTCCCTCGGTAGCTAACAGCCCTTGTGGGAGGGAAAGACCTGACATGTGGAAGGGACAACTTCTGTGCCACTGGAAAGGAATTCTTTTACTCCTGTCTACTGTGCAGGACGGTGATGACACGGTGAATACCACATAACTCGGGTGTTGAGTACACATAACTCGGGGTTTGAGTCAGCAAAGTGTGTTTTGTTTGTTTAGAGGTATTTTTGCTATAGGGTACATATGCTCGCCAGAAAGAGGTAAAAAGCCAGAAATCACATACACACGCGCATGCGCCTGCACACCTCAGGGAGGATGGCCATGCTACAGTCCCTTTTCTTTTATTCTCCTTTTGGGATTTTGGGCACTCACACACATGCACCCAGCATGAGTTTTTTAAGTCATCGGATCTGGGACTTGAACTGTCGTCAACTATGTGGGAGTCTAGCAATATAACCATTATGCCATCTGCTGGTCCCAAGTCAACAAGTGTTTTGCACCCATAGCTTTGAGTCATCATTCATCCCAGCCCTGAGATACACAGTTCATGAATTAATGTTCTTCATCTGGACAGTATACTTTTTAAATTTTTTTGTTAATCATCATCATCATTTTTTAACTTGCTGCAGGGCATGTGCACTCACCAGAAGGAGACAGAAAGTGAGAAAGCAAGTCACCAGGTCTGGGACTTGAACCACGGCTGGCTATGTGGGAGTCCAGCACCTTGACCACCACATCACTTGCTGGTCCCTGGGCAGTATACTTTTCTCAGGGCTTATCAAACTATAAGTTCCACACAAATGCATTGGGAGTGTCATTTTGGTTTAATGAGTATGGAATCGGGTCTACATTTGTTCATATTTGTAAAATTTTCCTGAGATGGAAACATTCAACAGGATCTTCATGCTGTGATCCACCTCCCAGCCCTGCAGACAGCCCAGATCATGGAAACACTTGGCGGGAAGGTAGAACCAAGCCTGAGCCTGGAGCATTCCACGTGGTTTCCAGTGTTGCGCAGCAGCGCCCCTAGCTGCCTGCACCAGCATGGCAGGGCCCACATTTCAACAAGCTCCCAGGTAATGCTTGTCTGTGGGCCCTGTGAATAACTAGGACATAAATCGCTTCCTGTGCCAAGTTACAGACAAGTAACTAAGTCTCAAAGAACATTTGCCATTAATTATAATGTGATGTGTCTAAATAATGGTACTCATTCTCCAAGACAGGGAAAGTAAGCCCACACCTTTGATGAGATTTATCATCTGAACATGGCTGAGGATTCAGGGTTCGGGGAACAGAATGATAAACTTTGAAATAAGAAAGGGCTTTTTCCTCGGTAGAAGTACTTATGGCTGGAAGCTGTGGGTGGTGTGATAGTTAAGGTGCTAGACTCCCATGTGGCTGGCTGTGGTTTGAGTACTGGACCTGAAAGCTTGCTTTCTCACTTTCCCTTGCTCTGGTCAAATTAATAATAATAAACAATTGCCTTTTTTTTTTAAAGTACTTGTGGCCAAGCCCAGACCTCACAACACAACTGAGTGTTCCTAAACCTGCTTCTAACCCAAAGTCTAGGAGCTTGCCTACCAAATGTGTTTTAATAAGCAGTCGTCCCAGCCTGCCTCTGCCACTCAGCTCATCTCTGCGGCTGTTTGCATGCCTTTTCATTCAGAAATGGAGAGCTTGCCTTAGCCTTCTCCTATACCTTCACCTGATACAAAAATTAGCCAGGAGACATGTGGGAATTTCCACAGTGAGGGAATCCATGTCTCTGAGGAATTGGTAAGAGGTTTCTCGAGGACCCAAAGCCTTGCAAAGAGTAAACGTGGAAGTATCCCTAAGTAGCCTGTAGTGCTTAATGAAATAAGGGGAAATAAGCCAGGAGGAAGTTGGCCTGTGACACCAGGGCCTTTCAGAGCTTGGCTAGATGAGCTGTTTTCAGAACTGCAGATACCCTACTTAGGCGCATGGTTTCCAGAGGACCTGGAATGAACTTTCCATTTAGGTTCAGGCCCTCCCATTTCCCCTGAAGATAAGCCACTGAATTCTCCCAGCTGCTCTTTCCCCTCCATTAATGCTCTTGTGTAAATATTTAACATTCCCTGTAAACACCTGGAAATACAAGCTAAGTGTTATTTTTAAAAGTATAAGGAGAAGGTGTCTCAGTTCCGGCTGCCATAATAGAATACCATAGACTGATTTCAATGTTTTCTTACAGTTCTGCTGTCAGGTTAGATTCCTGGTAAGGGCTCTTCTGGTTTGCAGACAGCCACCTTCGTAGTATCTGCATATGATAAAGAGCTGTCTCGTGCATCTTCCTATAAGGGCACTACTCATGTTGAAGAGGACTCCAATCTGATGACCTAGGTGCCATCTCTGAATCCTGTCACATCTGGGCTTAAACTGCCACGGGGATTTGGGGAGACACAAGCATTGGGCCCATAGCAGAAAGGGACTGGCGAGAACTGCACTGGAAAAGCCTTGTCTGGGCATGTGTTACTAAACCTGCCGAAGATTGCTCACCTGTGTGTCGCAAGCTAGACTGTAGAGGGGTGTGGTGACAGAAACTGGAGCTTTATCGCCACGTGCAAAGCAGAGTGAGCAGCTCATGCTAAGTGATTGGGTGTTTCCCCAGTCTTTTAGAGGGGTGGATGGTTGGTTAAGGGAAAAATTAAGGGGGTGGGGATCTCAGGCACATGATCAGCTGGATGAGTGGTTCATGAGGACATCATTCTGTGGGCTCCCTTTCTATTCTTGGGGGAAGCATTCATTGAGTCTCTGGAGTTACTCCGGCTGGAGTCAGTGTGTTTGCAGTCAGCATTTTCCATCTGATGGATTTCACATCCTTTATGTTAACTCCTTAATTTTAGTAAAAATCTTTTTCTTCAAGTGGTTTTTGGGATCATAGCCCTGACTCGTGGCTGAAGTGGCTTAATTTACCAGTTTCAACTATTTGCTAAATTATACTGAGAAACTAATTTTTATAACAGAAAGGCAGAGAAGGAAGGAATTTACAAGTTCTTTGGGAGGAATTCACATTGGTTCATTAAAATAACACAACTTTGGGACTAGCAGATGGCATAGTGGTTATGTCACTGGACTCCCACATGGCTGACTCCAGTTCGCATCCAGGACCCAGTGACCTGAAACTCATGTCGGGCATGTGTGCGTGTGTGAAGAAAAGGGACTGTGGCATGGCCATCCCCCCAGGGGGTGATTTCTCACTTTCTTTCTCTATCTCTCTGGTGAGCGCATATGCCCTATAGCAAAAATCTCTCTCTAGAAAAAGTAATAACACAACTTTAGATCAGAAATTTGGGGAGCATTGCAGGAGAAAAGGAGGTGATGGATCACATTGCAAACCTATTACCATTTGAAGGTCATCTTGTTACTGTGAACTAGGACATGCCTTCAGACAATCACTCCGGACACAGGATAGGGATAACCAAATCTGGAGTCTCGGCAGCTTTAAAAGTTGTTAAGACTTTTAGCCTAGCACCTGTTAATTTGCAGTTGGGGGATTTCAGCAGAAGGGGAAACTAAGGGCCAAGCCCTTTTAGAGGACCCCTGTTTTGTTTCC